TAGTCTTTGTGTAACTTTTTAGTTTTTCCTGAGGCTTGCATTTTTCTTCAAGTCCAAGTTCTCTGAAAAGGAGATGAACTAGAGCCCATCTGGGAAGACTCTCGATGCCTCATGAGACCATTACAGTGTTATTATACACACATTTAGAAAGACTATTTATTGTAAACTAGAAATACTGATCTAGATAGGCTTGGCACTATGACTTCACATGCATACAAAGGCAATTAAGTTCACAAACTCATCCTAGAAAAAGTGCTACATACCTTGTTGGTGAATATCACTCTAGTCACCTTCAGAATACACCCCTCAGGAATCTATGCACCAATGCGAGCCCCTAGTCCACCCTTCAAAGCACTTTTTCCAGGATCAGTTTGTGAATTTAATGGTCAGACCTTATACAACAATAGTTCTGATGACTATTCCAAAAAAAAGAGTTTCAAAATTTCTTTGAAAGTCATGCACTGATCATGATCACATTTTGATATAATTAGGTCAAATAGCAAATTAGGTCAAAGTGTGTGTATTTGAAGTCTGGGCTGGGTAATGTACACACACACCCCCATATATATGTAATATATATGTGTGTACACACACATGTAGAGAATCACCCTGTAACCTTGTTGTCATGCCCATAGGTTTTAGGGACTTGAGGGCTATCAGGTACATCTTGTTTGCTTGAGATAGGTGAACTCATGGGCATCAAAATAGGAAGCACTCTTTCTTCTCCCCTTAGGGCTTTATTGGGGTGATGGAGAAGTGAGTATAGAATGCTGAATTCTTTCATTTATTCACTGCAAAAATAATTGACAGTTCGGTGCCAAACCTTTCCCAATCAACCAACCATCCTTAACCCATGACCACTAGTGGTATTTTTATACTCCACTCATACGCTGCTGTTTTTCTCATCTCTCTTCTTGTCATTTATCCTAAGTCCTTCATACGTTATAACCTAGACCCACAGCTTCGTCAGAAAGAAGCATCTTCTTCCTCTTCACCCAAATCTTCAAGCTTTTTATACTCTGTTGATTCACAGTCCCCAAAACTTTCCATCCACATTAAGAAACAGGCTCTTCTCAGAACCTTGCTTCATCCAAAAACCCCTTGGAGGCCGTTTTGCCATATCTAACAAGTCCTTTGATGCTCTTCCTGGTATTCTGGTGGAGCCTAATTATTTTCCCTTGAGTGTGCATTGGGCTTAATGACTTGCTTCTAACAGAAAGAATAAATCTAAACTCATGGTATATGACCTTGAAGACCAGGTCATAAAAGGCATAGCAATTCCTTTTTTGTCTTCAGAGAAAACAAGCTGGCATGTCACAAACCTACTCAAGCAGCCTCTGGAGAGAGGCCTCTGGCCAACAGCCAGAAGAATGAGCCATCTCAGAAGTGGATCCTTAGCCCCAGTCAAGCTTTTCAAAGCCTGTGGTCCCTGAGACATCCTAACTGCAAGTTCACAAGAGCTGCTAAGCCAGAAGCTTCCAGCTCACCACTCCCAAATTCATGACCCACAGAAACTGTGAGATAATAAATGCTGGAATTTTAAGCCACTTAATTTTGGAGGAATTTGTTAGTCAGTAGTCAGTAACTAACATACTCTCCAAGAGTCCACTGGTGTGTTACCCTTCTGGGGACAAACACCACCAGGCGCCACTCTGTGGGGGGGCTCCTGCTTTGCTTCTGAAAAGCTTGCTGTGGTTTTTAATCTATATAATTTGTGGAACATTTAAACCACAGGCCTAGGCTTCAACCCCAGGAGTTTCTTACCCAATAGGTCTGGGATGGGTCCAAGAGTCTATATTTAAGTAAATTATTAAAAAACAAAAACAAAAAGAAAGCTATTTAAGAATTTTTTAAGAACACTTTTGGTTGAGAACCTTGCTGCTCTTTTTGACTATAAAAAGCCACAGTCCTCTCTACTGTGTGTTTTCTGTGTTCTTTCTCTGAGGACTGATTGTGGGGAGCTCAAGTCACCATTCAGCTTGTCCCCTCAGCCATCAGGAAGCCCAGCAAACAACCATACTCAGAGCTTTTATTCATAACCCTAGAGAGCCGCCCTGCTCAAACCTGAATTGCATCAGAGTCACTCTCCCTGCTCAAACCTGAATTGCATCAGAGTCACTCTCCAGGCCCCAGTTCCAGAATTCCTAATTATGTAGGTCCAGGGTGAGGTGGGGGATGGGGAGGACATAGTTTGCCTTTCTGGTATATTCCACAGGTACTGCTGCTGCTGCCTAGGGTGGGGCCACATTTTGAGAAGTACTACTAAAAAGAATAGCCATAATATTTCAACTTGGCTTCAGAAATAGTCTGAGATTCTCCCTGTACTTCAGGCAACAACAACAAATGAAAACAAAAGCTCATCCATTTTATCTGAGACTAGGGTAATTCATGGTGATAGAAGTTTTCTCTATGGCTTATTTTGAAAGATAGGAACTGGAAAGGTAAGATAAAGGGACTTCTGAAGTGCTCAGGACATTCCATTTATTCATCTGAGTGGTGGTTACATGAATATGTTCTCTTTGCAAAGGACATTTGAGCTGGACACCTACAATTTGTGCACTTTTCTGTCTGCACCCTGTACTTTAAAAGTTTACTGAAAAATTAGTAATAATGATAAATGCTGTCTAAACCTGGAAGAAAGGGGCCTGCATGTCACTCGCCTATGTCTCTGTTTGCAAGCATGCTTTCTCTCAGGGGCATGCATGATGGAAACCCAAGGAAGACGATTTTCTTTTTACTTTCTTTCATTTTTGCCATCATCCTTTGTATATGCGATACCTGGGGAGCGTCTGCTTCCCAAGATGCCATTTTTAAAAAAACAAACAGGACTGTTCCAAAGAAAATATTGTAAATGAAGTATTTGCATGTTTTGAATTCCTACAATAACATTGATAGAAGAACTTGAAAAGCAAGTTGATAACTACCATTGTCAATTAAAAAGAAAATAAAACTTTAAAAAAGGCAAAGCAGATTGAGCTCTCTTTAATGCTTTTTGATAACCACAGTTTGTGTTCCGCTGTGCAGAGATTCTGAAGAGTAAGAATTTGGGGAGGGAATGAAAGTGCACCCTAGATTTACCGCCCATTTCCTTGAAAAGCTTCTGCGGCAGGAGACTTTTTTCTTCTGAGTGAGGACAAATGTCACCTAAAGAGTTGTCACCTAAATGTCACTCTAAAAGTTTCATCCAGTGAAACTTTTGGAGTCTTAGTGAGGAAAATTGTTTTGCAAACTTCTTACCAAAAATGCTAATTATTACTAAAACTGCTCTACAACTATCTCACTTTTCCAATCATTTCTTTTCTGCACGTTTATGGGTTAAAAGGTTTGGTTTTAAAGCATAATGTGGGTGGGCAGGTTGCATTGAGTCTTCTAACTTTCAGGTGGTCTGTGAAATGGTTATTTTGAAACTCAGGAGCTATGCAGGACACTTTGGGCCTATTTCTTGGTAAATATTAGACTTTAAATCACTGCAGAAGACAGTGGGTGTCCCCTTTACTGAATATTGTCTACTCTGAAGGAGAGACATTATAATACAGTATTTAAATTCCTAGGCTTGTTGAGCCTACCTAACGAGGGTTGGAACCCCAGCATCACCAACTCTGTGGCCTTGAGTAAATCCATTCTTTCTCTCTTCCTCCAAACTTTACACTTTTTCTTGTGTTAAATACTGTCAGTCATAGGGCCATGAGGAATATCGCATACAATGATATAAAGGAATTTAACTTTAAATTCCTAATACATAGTATATTTTCAAGGAATGGTTGCATAATTAACAAGAGATGAAAGAAATTGGAAATAAATGAATAATTTTACTCAGTTTTGAATTTCCCTGCTCCTTTCTCATGCAAACAGAAATGAATAAATGATATTTATTGCATTATACATGAATGGATAAGTAATGCATTTTCTTTACATCCTGCAATTAAAAAGTATCAAAAAATTATGGGGAATAATTGTTGCCCAGTACTTTGATATTGTGGTGAAGAGGTGGCAAGAGAAAGGGGTGTTGGGGGGACATCTTTGCGCTTTGTGGTGATAGAATAGTTCTGCATTTTGATGGCAGGGTGCCTATGCAAATCTATACACAATATAAAATGGCATAGAGGCATACAGTCACATTGTACCAAAGTCAGTTTCCTAGTTTTGATGTTGTACTACACTGTGTAAAATATAAACATTGGGGGAAACTGGGTGAAGGGCGTACCAGAGCTCTTTGTACCACCTGTGCAACTTCATGCTAATCTGAACTTACTTCAAAATAAAAAGTTAAGTGTCTGTTGAGAATTTCCTCCTTTTATCAGAACTGCAGTGTGCATGGGTCACTGTATCTCTCGTGATCCAGTTTGAGTGCTGGCATAAGCTGTGGTGTTTTCCCTTAAGTATAATACTCTTAAGCACCTCTCTCGCCCTTTTTTTGCACCTTCCTAGGCTAAATCAGTCCTTCACTACTTGGTACCAAGATTAAGTGGTAGGTAAATATGTTACAGACAGGATTCCTTAAAAAATGCAAAGTTTGGTCACCTTTGATTCTAAGATATTCTCAGCTGATTCACGCTGAGCAGTTAAGATTAAGTATGTGGCTAGGTATTTTCATCTACTTCCTGCCAACAGCAGCAAGGATGTGAGTATGTTATTAAAATCCTCTGGGATTAAGTAGTAAGGCAATTTAGTATCAGCTCACAGTTTGGAAGTCTTGCTATGATACTCCTAATAAGCCAACCAGCTAAATAGCAAGAACACCAGACACCCTTAATTCAAGTGATTTGGTGGTTGCACAACTACATTTCCAGGACCTCTGGGTACCCAATACCCTGGGTACTCAGTAAATACGTGTGGATGAGTGAGCGAATGAAGGAAGGAAGGGACCATTAAGATAAGCCATGAGAAAATGGCAAAGTCAAAAGAAAAAAGGAAAGAATTACTCTGCCTTTGTGGCTCAGGTCTTGATACAGCAGGATCTGCTGGGGGAACTTCTAACCCTTCTCTCTTTGCTTCTCTAGGCAGCTTGAAATCCACTCTCCAGATGCAAAGCACACGGTTATCCTGAGGAGCAAAGACTCAGCCACTGCCCAGGCCTGGTTCAGTGCCATTCATGCCAACGTTAGTGAGCTCGTGACCAGAGTGATTGCCGAGGTCAGAGAGCAGCTGGGGAAAGCAGGCGTTGCTGGGAGCCGAGAGATTAGGCACCTTGGTTGGCTTGCAGAAAAGGTAAGGAAAAGTATCTGTCTGTCACAGTCATTTTCCAGAAGGTTCCCTCTGTACTTGTATCCAAGGAAGTTATTTTATTCCATGGGCTGATCCTCTTATTCACAGTCTATATGACTCTCTCGTGCACCTACAACAGGCTACGTGCTTTATCTTCATCAACTTTGAGTCCCCTGCACGTTGTCAGATATGTGGCAAATTGCAGGTGATCACTGGTTGTTGTATGGATGGATGGATGAATGAATGAATTTTGACATCCATAAATGAAGAGCAAGGAAAGTAACTCAAATAGAGTCACAATGGAGCTATAGCCTTGGAAGGCAGGGAAGTTGAAATTACAAAAAGGGTTTGTGTGGGTTTTAATGAGCCTACTTATTAATAACACAGATACTTTAGGGATGATTCCAGTGCACATTTACAAATAATAGCAATAATAACAACAGCAGGGATTTCTTGAGCAAATACTATGTGCTGCTATCTTCATGTATTCGATTAGTGCACTTAGCTCCTGGATCCCGAATGTCATCATTAAAGAGCACCTACTTTGTATGAGGCGTGGTGCTCCGCAGGAGTGCGGAGGGAAGGGGCAAGACGAATAAAGACTTAGTCTCTGTCTCAGGGAGGACAGCTGCTGTGGAAACGACTTTGTGTCGCATTAACACTGTCACTCTGATTTCTTTTCCCAAGTAATGTGATACATTAAAGATAGTAAAGCTCACTTTGTGGTCATCTCTTGGGAGTTACTTTTTGTCTTCATTTCAAAGGATTGAGCCTTTGCCATTGTCCTTACATCTGATCTCTGTCCTTTGAACTTGACCTTGAGTGCTCAGGAACACTGGGCCTTTGGGACAATCTGACCTCCCATTGACTCACTGTCTAATAGGCAGTAAAGGGGAATAATGATCTTTGCAATAACAGCTTTCCTGCCAGTGAACCCTGTTATCTGAGAAGATCCTGTCAAATGGCACTTGAAAATGATCCTAGAACACAGCATTCGGCTGTTTGCCCCCTTTGTTCTTTGTCTGCAGCAGTTCATGTGCGGGTCTCAGCCACAGAGTTCAACACAAAATGGGTTGTTTGGTTTGGTGTTGTTCTATCTCTCACAGATTTCAAAGAACCAAAGGGACAATGCAGGTGGTGGAAGCATCCGAAATCATATTAACACAAACCACGGGTAGGCATTCGTGAATTTACAGGTTAAGGTTCTTGATGATAAAAACATCATAAATCAGGATGATTGACATGATTTTAAAAGTCACAGTCTCTAGCAAGACTCTCTTTTTACTCTCTCCATATGCCTATGTTTTTGTTAGGAGAAAAACTATTCAGGGATCCTTCAGTTGAAAATGATGGAAAGCTCAACCCACTTTAGCTTGAGCAAAAAGGGGATGCATGACTTCTGATAACTGCAGTGTCTAAGGGTAAGCCTCCAGCAGGGATTCAAACAATGACATTAGGCCCATCTCTTTTTCCCAGGCACACCTTCTCTATTTGGCCTGACAGGTCCAGACCTATGTTTTCCCTTAGACCTGGCTGTCTCAGTGAAGAGAGGCCTCTTTGCCCCAGTCATGCCAACAGAAGTCCTGAGATGGCAAGTCTTACTGGACTTACTTGGATCATATGTTCAGCCCTAACTGGGGCTGAGATCAGCCTGGCTCAAGTCATTTACATTGAGGGATGAGGTGGGGTGGTTCTTTCATAGTAAAATAGGCTGCCATGTAAGGAAGAGAGAAAACAGATACCCTGGGGGCCAAAGCAACAGACATTCAATATAGGAGGGCCAGGGAAGGGACTGATTGTGATGAAAAGTGCCCTCATTGGGTTAAGGTCCTGAGTGGACTTGGAGATGGATCACAAATTTCAGGGTTGTGGTAGGAGAAGATGGATGGGAAACTCAAAAGGAATGACTGGAAAGAATTTAATGCAGGGCAGTTTATAAGGTGTAGCCAAGACAAGGGAAACCCATAAGAGATAGAGAAGCACTACAGGGCTAACAACAGGAGAGGCCACTACCATTTCTTAGCCCGAAAGAGCAGAGGAAGGGACAGTTACCTGTAACCAGCAGGACAAGACCGGTAGCTGGAGACAGGCACCACCCACTCCGGGCTGTCTGTGCCTTTGGGAGAGAAGCACAGCCCCAGCCGGCTGATCTCCTACTGGGCTCTCCCAATGACTGAAGCTGGATGCAAGGCAGAGCCAGGGAGCCCACTGATGTTCTCTGTTAAGGTGAGCCACAGGGCACAGAGCAGGATGGACGAGGCAGGGACTGGATGGGGAGGGGTGAAGGGCGGCTGGCCAGCACACACATCCTTACCCATCCCAAGAGGATGGTCTCAATTCTGAAAAGTACTTTTCTCTCATCTGTGTAAACACAAATTCTGTTTAGAATTGTCACCATTTGAAGGGTTGAAAAATGGTATTGTATCTTTATTAATGATATTGAAAAATATTCCAGATGTTTTGTTTTCTCACTTATAAATTATCTTCTGCCTTTTGCCTATCCCAAATTATTAGCAGGCCCATTATTAGGCATTCCCATAGAGCAGATATATAAAACTCTTTCTGTTTTTACAATATTATTATTGTTATTATGATGTAATTTCAGATCGTCCTTACAGATATCTCCTTATTAAGAGTATTCATAAGAGCAATTATGATTTCTCATGGATAATTATCAGAAGCAGAAAGGTCTTCTTTTTTTTTTTTAAGAGACAGAGTCTCATTTTGTTGCCCTCAGTAGAGTGCAGTGGTGTCACAGCTCACAGCAATCTCCAGCTCTTGGGCTTGGGTGATTCTCTTGCCTCAGCCTCCTGGGTAGCTGGGACTACAGGGGCCCAACACAATGCCCAGCTATTTTTTTTGTTGTTGCAGTTTGGCTGGGGCCAGGTTCGAACCCGCTATCCTCGATCTATGGGGCCAGTACCCTATTCACTGAGCCATAGGCTCTGCTATGCCAGCAGGAAGGTCTTTCATTGCTTTTATCTTTAAAGGTCTCAAAAGATTACCATAGTTCAAGTTCAAGGGAACAAATCCAAACTGGAATTTTTTTGAATAAATACTGAATACTGAATCCTAGCGTAGAGATCTAAGAATGGTTTTTAGCAAAATGTTAAAATGAATGGCAAATCCTTAAGGCTATAACATTCTTATATGTTCACAAATACCAGTAAATTCACTTGGTATTTGTAAAGCTGTAAAGTGTGATCCTATATATATTCAGCTGTAATTTACCTTAAATTGATGTCGTTTGTCTTTTCCTATAGTGTTAAACTTTGTTTTTGTAGATTAATAGCAATAGCTCTGTCACAAGAGTGTTCAAATTATATTTAATTTCAAGTTTTTCATGAGCAAAAGTAATATAAAATAATTTCTTCTTTAAAATCCTGTTCGGTACAAATCCTAAAACCTCAGCCCTACACAGGAGGATATTAAGATTATTCTTCTCTTTGTGACTGTCTGGGGACTTGAGGAATGGCTCTTGAGAAATGACGAGGTTGTGAGTGAGTGGAGACGTTTCCGTGCACACCCGAGGATGAGGACAGAGAGGAGGCCTGCATTAGCACAGCTCGTCGTGAGATCTGGTCAGAGACTGGCCTAAAGGGAAGTGAGGCTCCATCGGGAGGAAGGTGACAGGAGAACGTGGTGTGCTGAAATGGCACCCAGTTAATGAAGGCGCTTGAAAGCTGGACAGAGTGGTTTAAATGTGGCTTGGTGGGCACTAAGTGCCTTCATATGCAAAATCAGAGAGGAAAGAACTTCAAGGTGTTGTGATCTAACCCTGTGGTCCCCACCCCCTAGTCCGTGCCACTCCTGGACTGTGGCCTGTTAGGAACCAGCTGCACAGCAGGTGAGAGGCAGGTGCGAAAACAAAGCTTTAGGTGTTCACAGCCACGCCCTGACACTGGCATCACCACCGGAGCTCAGATTCTCCTAGGAGCAGGGGCCCCACTGTAAACTGCGCAGGAGAGGGATGCAGGATGCATGCTCCCTGTGAGAAGCCAGGGCCCTCCAGCCTCTGCCCTGCTCTGCAGAGAAATTGTCTTCCATGAAACTGATCTGTGGGGCCCAAAAGATTGTGAAAGCACAGGTAATGAGAATCCGATAGCGTCTGTCAGGCTAGGGCAGACATGACACAGCTTGTCTGGTTGTTTAAGGTCCTGCTGACCTTCACCTCCTGTCTCCCATTCTTATTGTTTTGTAAATTTAGCTCCCATCCTAAAGATGCCCATCTTGAATAGTTGAAGAAATTAACTTTTAAATTTAAAACATTATAATAAATTGTCACTGAGTTGTGCTGTTTATTATTTAAAGTAAGAGATACTGCAGTCTTTGCTGTGAACCATTATATATAAAGCTGTGAGTTTGAAAATAGAAGAACAGAACAATCTTCGAGAGGCTGCTGTCACTGTTCTCCAGAACCTGGGGCCTTCTGACAAAGTTTGGTGGACCTGTACCCATCTCTACATATTGGCTGTTAATGACAGGCAGCCGGACCCTCTTCATCCAGTAACAGTTGGGGATTGCTGATTGAACCCAATCTAATCTTTCTATAGATGAAGTTTTGGGCCCCAGAGAACTAAGGTGTTTTACATCAAAAGTCTCATTCAAAATTAAAACCCAGAAGTAATTAGAGTAGAACAGTGCTGTGATAGTACTTCTTTAATTTTTAAAATATCAGTGACTCAGCTACTACATTCACTTTTATTCCCTCCTTAAACCCTTGTGTCTTTCCTCTGGAGTCTACAGAATCAGGGTCAGCGCTGGGCAAATGGCCTTTGCACGAGGGCCACTTTCCTTGACTTCTTGGTCTTGTGAGCCGCATGATGGTGACAGTCCGGCACTGCTTTCCCCTCGGAGTGCTGCCACCTGTAGGCAGGGCCTGCACACCAACGAGCCGTCTTCCCTGGGTGATCATTATCAGCCTCCAATCTCTGAATTCTTTGCAAGCCCCATTCTGGCTCAAGGGGGCCCCAAAATACTAATTCCTACTCTGGCTTGTACAG